CGCTCTACCTCAAACAGCCACAAATCTAAATTATCCCCATAGAATATCAGTGTGTTTGAGTCGGCCACATGAATCCAACCCTGTATCAACGACTCCATATCCTTTCTGCTGCACTACCATCTTCTCCAACATGCTCCTTATCAAGTTCAAAAATTCTTTTGTAATTCTCTGTTGAAATAGCTTCAATTAGTCCGACAATCGACTGCTCTGATACTAATTTGATAGGTTCCTGATGGCTGCTGTTGGTTCTACACTTGCTGGTGCTGCTGGAGAGACTTCCTGCTTTGGGTTAGCTGTTGTGGCAGTAGAATTTGATGTATTAGTGAAGGATGTATGATAATCTCTGTATTAATATTTAGTATGTATAGATTGGTGCAGAATTTGTAAGGTAGAGAACAAATTGTAATTGAATGATTTATTAATGTTTAACAGAATGTAAATGACAATTCCAAGGCTTTCGAGAGGCCCGGTCTCTCCCCAATTTTCCCACTATTTTCCTAGATGAATAACCCGACTCACCCTTGTTACATTTATAGAAACTCTACCAACTTTCTATTACAATTTTTGTCCCTTCACTAACTAATTATGGAATACTCTAGAATGAATAACAAACTAGTATTGGAGGTGAGGGTCTATCATCTCCATTTTAAGAATTAATGTTAACTTTGATGTCTCAAACAACCATTTATTTTTCCATATTGGAGAGAGGACTCCTTTGAAAACGTGGATTGATGCTAATCCAGGTAGTTGATTTCTAATATAGAAAACAACATGAAACAAATTTTATAGTTGGGTGACTGGAAAAAATTAAAGTTTGACCAAAGTAAAACAAATCTTATTGTTGGATGATTAATTTGGAACAAATTAAAGTTTAGCGGGCCATTGAAACCCACCTACAAGTTAAGTGACCCATCAAACCTTTAGATCATTGCTTAGTTGAAAATCATACCAAAACATAGAAAACCCTGGAAAAAAGGAGACTTCTTTTTTAGGATTAATATCACGAGAAAATATTGAGACACTACAAAAAAACAAAGAAGAAAAAGAGGGAAAAAAATCAATTTAAAGAGCCTTTATGAGATACTCATGATTGCAATAATACAACTCTGAACAAAACTACCAACATCACAGACAATGAAGCGAGTTTCGAATACTAAAGTCTCTAGCTTTTGAGGATCAACAACCAATATAACATGTATAAGATTTTTAGAATATTTTGATAAAAACTAATGAAATGTGTGATTGAAAAGTTGATAAAAGTTGTGGATCCCACAAAATGTATGGTTAAAAATGATTTTGTGAAAAAATGAGTTTTAAGAAATGAGGGCCAAACAGTGATTGAATATTCCTTCCCTGATGCGGGTAAATGTAGACCATAGTCCTTAAAGAGGTTCTTTATCACATTTCTAGTTGATCACCAAGGTCACTTACGTATCAACCATTGTTGATGGTAATCCTTACTTGTCCATTCAAGTTATTACTTGGCACTAACATGAAATCAAGGCATCAGCTCAAATTGAAACAAAATGACATTAAAAGAAAAAAAAATTTAAAAAAAAAA